TTTTTTTTTCCACAGGCTCTGCACATAGCCAAGGAGCAAGAAAGGAAGGTCCACAGAGATGCAGTACTGGGTCACTGCCTCACCTTGCATCAGGAGCAGGGAAAAGAGGATGGACGATGCCAAGCAGCTGCCCACTGCCAGCCAATATGCCTTGTACACCTTAAAAGCTACTGCTCCTTCTTTCTTCTCCTCCTCCTGGCGGAGAAGGGGATTGTTTGGGGTCAATTCTTCTGCCTCTGTCTTTATGGCATCCTCTTGGCCCTGCTCTTCAGGGGCTGTGGGTATGGAGGAAAAAGCAAGGTCAGTGCAACATGAATTCCTTCTGCAGATGCTCCTCACTGCAAATAGAGCAAGCACAGGCTATGGGGAAGGCTTTTCTTCCCTCCTCCCTTCCTCTTCAGGCCAGGCATGCCAGCCCTGGCAGACTTTCATTCAGATCTGGACTGGATCTGAGCTAGCAGAGAAGAATCAAACACTGATCCTGGCCAGGACCCAATACTTGGACTTTCTCTCTCTCTGTGCACGCACCACCCACGGACCAGCACTGTCACAGCAGAGCAGGGTGGTGGGAGCTCTGTTCTGAGGCCAGATACCATCTTTCTATGTGACTCCTGCAAAGTCCACAGGACTGGGAGATGCACTCATGCTCTCTCTGGAATTGTTTCTTGCGGGCTGTTTCTGACAAAAAGACAAAACAAAAAGAAGCAGACAGCAAGAGGGTGCAAGTGGGAATGAAGCACAATGGCATGCAGTCAGCTGGATTAACCCAGAATCAGGGCCAGCATCTTTAGCCTACTCATCTCCATCCTTTCTCTCACAGCCATTACTCCCTCTCCTCCTTAAGCACCTCTCAACACAACTGCCCTCAAATTTTGTTCAGAGACTCAATAAGAGTGACAGACTTTTTCTGGGTATTTAACTTGAGCTGCACTGCCCCGTCGTCCCCAAGCTCGACGGATACTGACCTTTATCCTGCCTCTTGTCCATGTCCTTGAACTTGGGGAAAGCTTCCACAAGTGGCAGGATCTCAGCTGGTGTTCCTGCAAAGAGAAAAATGCAAATGCTTCAGGATCTGAGAAACAGATGCCAGCTTCTAATAGTCTTTTTCTATGAAATGGTTCATTTTTTTCTCTCCTTACATCACCTACTTTCTCTCACTACCTTTCCTATTTTCTCTCATGGCACTTGCACCCTTTAAAGGCTCTGCTTCACATGTCCTGGCATGGCATCATGCCTTATCAACTCACCCTCTCTAGGGCCGCCTTGCTTTATGTGTACATCTGCATCCACCCAGTCTTCTCTACCTACTTGCAGTGTCCTCAAACTCTTTTTCCTTTCCTGGATCCCCCAGTTAATCCTATTCCCTTATAGCCATCCCTGCTCATGCCACTCCAGGACTGGCAAACAGGCATATGCAGAAGCCTCGGGAGATGGCCACTATACCTGTCCTGACTACCCTGCCGTTGTCCACCAACAACAAGGCATCAGCCTTCTTCAAAAACTCCGTCCTGTGGGTGCAAAGGATCCTTGTCTTGTGCTTGAGGACTCCCATAACACATTTCTCCATAAGATGGTTGGCTACATTGGCATCTACAGCTGCCAGGGGATCGTCAAGGAGGTAAAGCTCTTTCTCCTGAGGGGAAAGACGAGACAAGGATACACTTCCAGGCAGTGCTGGAGAGAAAGAGGCAAGTACCTTGCCATGGCACATCACCAGCAACTTGGTCCAGCATGAGGGGGGCCACAGAGGCTGCTGGAGCACAGTGCACAGCTGGGTGCTTCCAGTTTCTTTACATCCAACTTGACATTGGGTGCTATCTGCCACAGCCCAGCCATTGCCCTTTTTACCTGGTAAACAGCTCTGGCAAGGGCTATTCGAGCCTTCTGGCCCCCACTGAGTGTCACACCATTCTCGCCAACCTCTGTCTGGTCACCTGCTGGTAAGATCTGAAACATCAAAAAAAAA